CCTAAGTTAGAGGTGTTCAACTTTAAGTCATAAGGCTTTTCAGATTAGTAAATGCCATTTTTAAAAAGTCTCAATTTCCTCCTTTATGGCAAAGGTTCTGTTGATCCAGAGTCAGTCACCAAAGTGTTTAAGACTCATTCCATGATTAAAAGCCAACTCTTCCTTTAAAATAAGAAACAAGGATCAGGAAGCAAGTTTGTTATGAAATATGATAAAAATCAATTTTGGAGAATCCATGACAGGGAAAAACAGGAATGATACAGTTTTTTACTTTGAATTTTATAAATCAAAAATCCCTAAGCGTGGGCAGATTTTCACAGTGAATTACACTCCCAGTAAGTCTGTCAGAGTGGCCTGTTGGGTTTTTAGCACTGTGCCTTGATTGTTTAATTGAGGGCTTTAAATTTAGTGTCACAAACTCCCTCATTAATGCCTATCTGATGGGCACCACATAAAATAAGAAATCCTATAACACCTTTATAAACTAGGCTTATTTACAGGATTACAAATGGTGACCATAAAATCTTTTTTAATAAGACACATTAGAAGAAGGTAACTGTGTTGGGAGCAGAACAGAAAAAAGTTACATGCACACATGGGTGTTTTTAAAATTTTTCTTCTACGTAGATATGCATGCCCATTTAGGCAAATAAAACCTCTTGATTAAAAATGATCTTTAAACTCATAAGCCCCAGTCTCTTCCAAGGGAAATTATTACCAGTAGTCTTCAAAGATCCTAAAATGAAAAATTATTCCATGGGTCCTGCTACTGTGCATCAGAAAGGGGAAGACTTAAATCACTAAGACCACACTAGTTATCATCAAGAAGAGAAAAGAAGAAGCAACCAAGTAATTTAAAACTTACTTTGTACATTTTAGGAATAGGACAAAAAGTATCAAATAGCTAGAGGGAGTAAATTCTTCCAGGACTTTTACAGGAAAGGGATAGGCACCAAACATCCTTTCTCCTAAGGCACAATTTCTATTTACAGTTATCCACGAAACCGTATCCCATCATTAAATAAAAGAAAATTAAGATCTTGAGTATCTGTGAGATCATGTATACCTTATGGTTATAAATTGCACCCCTAAGAAGCTCACTGAATTGTGTTTATAAAATGAGTATATTCCCCCATGTGGCCAGATATGCCTGCCAAATTCTTTAATTAGATTTGATTGCAGGTTTGGAAAGGAATCTTCCTGCAAAAAAATATTTAGAGATGTTGATGATACTGTTGAATGTTTCCATCTTTCTTAGTCCCAATATCTTATATTTTAGGATTCCTTGGCTAATCTATGTAATAACTGAAGAATCCATAATTCTACGACATTTCAAAGGGACTTGCTGGTGATTAGTAAATGGAAGTCCTTGTATGGATAAGTTCTACTCTATCAGCACTGATTTGTCTGTATTGCCAGTCTAATATGAGACAGAAGACCCAAGTTCGAATTCTAGGCTTTGTCACATTATTTTATTAGGAAGGCAGTGTGATATAATGGAAAGAACACTGGTCCTTGAGTCAGAGAACCTGGGTTCAAATCAGGCTACTGATACTATCTTATGATCCGATGACATATGAAACTTCCCTTCTCTGCCTCATCTTTAAAAGGGGGTTAAACTAGACAGGTTTTAAGGTCCCTTCCAGCTCCAGATCTGTGATCCTATGATTTATGATGAATGACAATCCCTTATTTATCATAATTATTTCTCTAGTGTTGATCTTGGAGGATGAGAGAAGAGGTCCTTGGTTCTATGACTGGAGCAACCTTAGGTCATGTTTGTTTAGGGCAGGAGAGAGGATAGAGAGGTATCAGAACTTTTCTTCTCGTCTTCCCCTTCAATTGCAATACGTTTTTTAGCCACTACAGGGCAGGTTAGAGAAGCATTAATAAGTATAAGATTCTAATTGACTCAATTGTTTATATTCAGAAGAAACTGTGTTTATTTATGAAAGCTGTGTGTGTGTGTGTGTGTGTGTGTGTGTGTGTGTGTGTTTGCAGGATAAGTTAGGTAACCTTTGGAAGCAAATGCTACTTTGGTACTTGAATTACAAAAATAGAGCTTAAACTTTTAGAATTAATATCTCTCTTGAGAGCTATCTGAAATAAAGGGTAAATGCAATGCTATCATTTGTAAGAAAGAATAGGCTTTAAAAGCCTACTTCCCAGTAATGTCAGGAAGCAAGATGGCTTTCCAAAAGCCAAAATTAGCAAAGACAGTAAGGGAGGCTGACAGCAAATCTAGATTACATTTGTTTGTTTTTTTTGGTTTTTGTGTGTTTTTTTTTTAGAATTATTACATTTAATTTAGGATAGTGCCCTTCTATTGTTTCTGTATGCAATATGTAGTCCAGGTTCTAAAGACTGTAGAAAGGCTTCTGCCCAAGGTACCATGTACAGGAAAAACTTTCAGAAAATATAGAATTTCTTTCATCATCCCTCCAGCAAGTAAACATGAGAATTTTGCTATGGGTAATAAAAATCCCCCAATGCAAGGCTACATGAAGTCTCTCCCCTAATTCAAACCCAAAATGTACATCTAAGTGTTACTTCTACAGGAAGCCTTCCCTAATCCCCTTTTTAATAATTTTTTATAATTAATTTATTTATATTTAGTTTTCAACAGTCACTTCCATAAGATTTTGAGCTTTAAATTTTCTCCCCCTCCTTCTCTTCCCCCCTCCCCAAGATGGCATGCAATCTGATATAGGCTCTACTTATGCATTCATATTAAACATATTTTCAAATTAGTCATGATATAAAGAAGAATTAGAAATAATTGGAGGAATCACAAGAAAGAAGAAACAAAACAAAACAAGAAAAGAAAAGGCGAGAAATAGTATGCTTCCATCTGCATTCAGATTCCAATGTTCTTTCTATGGATATGTATAGCATTTTCCATAGGGAGTCTTTTGGAGCCTAACCCCTTTTAATTCTAATGCTTCCTCTCTTTAAATTATTTCCTATTTCTCCTCTATATAGCTTACTTTATATATATTTGTTTGTATGTTGTCTCCCTCATTAGGTTGTAAGCTCTTTGAGGGGAAAGGTTGCCTTTTGCCTCCTTTTGTATCCCCAGTGCTTTGCACAGTGCCTGGAATATAGAAGGCACTTAGTAAATGTTTATTGATTGACTGATATTCTGCCCTCTGTCAAGTTCTGTCAGCCTGGGATAAAAGCCCACTGTCTTCAGATCTGGATATCATCAGAGGATGGCTAATGGCAAGATCTATAAATCTGCATTACACTAGAAATTATAAAATAAGGCCACGAACTAGAGCCTTGGGTTACAAAGCATTGCTTCTTCCCATCACGGAAAGAGAAATACAAGCATTCAATTTTTAAAATGAAGCACACTCTGTCATGTGTATTTGTGCATAAAGCTTCAATTCCTCTTGGGTCTGTTTACAGTAAGGCTCCTTATCAAAGTTTTTTAAATGATGCCAAACCTTTGACAAATATAATTTAGGTACTTATCATCAACAAACTCCATAAGGAGACCAAAGCTCATGGTACCACACACTTAAAACAATAAATATCCAAATACTCTCAAAGAACTCAAACTAATTTGCTACAAGTTTGTTGTTGTTGTTCAGTTGTGTTTGACTCTTCATGATCCTATTTGGGGTTTTCTTGGCAAATATTCTGGACTAGTTTGCCATATCCTTTTCCAATTCATTTTACAGATAAGGAACTGAGGCAAACAGTGTTGGGTGACATGCCTAGGGTCACACAGCTAGTAAGTGTCTGAGGCTGGATTTGAACTCAGGAAAATGAGTCCTCCCAGCTCCAGGGCCAGCACTCTTCACTGCACCATCAAGCTGCCCAAGTTTACTCAATCATCAGATAGTCTTATCAGACACAAGCCTAGTGATCACAACCTTGCAATCGATTGTACCTATGCCCTTTGTGGACAATTTTTTTTAGTGCATACATTTTAATTTTCATCCATGTTAAAAGGGAAGATATAACATAATTTATTATCCTAAAGAAAAGGTAAAGCCAGAATTTTGGCTTCAACCCATGTTCTTGGTCTTCAAATCCAATGAACATCACACTTGATTTAGTATAAATTTTTACACATCCTTCAGGACTAGACTTTATGGCCTTTGGAATGTGAAGATGACAATCCATTTTTTGTTCATTTAATAAATATATGAGTTGAGAGTTGAGGTAAAATGAAGGCAAATTGAACATCTTTTTGAAAGATGGTGTTTTCATTTAATTCTGTCAGGGGGACAAAACAGTGTAGGCCAAGGTTCTTAATCTGGTATGTTTGGATAGATTTCAGGGAGCTAATGAAACTTGGAAGGGAAAAAATTAAATTTTTATTTTCACTAGTCTCTAACTAAAACTTAGGATTCACTTCAATTATTTAAAAACATTATTCTGAGGTAGGATCCATAGGCTTACCAGGCTGCTGAAGGAATGCATGATAAAAAAAAAAGGTTAAGAACCTTTGGTGTAGCTCGAGACATCATTTAGCTGAATGAAGACTCAAATAATCCCATTTGGAAACAAAATTTTTAAGCCAATATTTCCTTAAAATACATGTCTCTAAAAGAATAGCCCCCCTTTCTGTTGTTAACCTCAATTCTCTTTCACTCTTAGTTAATGCATTCTCCTCTGTGGCTTTGAATGAATTCCTTTGGAGAAAATCCAACAAACATGTTGGCTTGCTTCTTCTCCCTCTTAAAGTACTTGGTTTTCCTTTAAATCTCTCATCCTCACTGGCAAGTGTTGCCAGTTCTCCTTCACTGATTTCCATGGGAGCTCGGGGGGGGGGAAAGTGGCTTTTTCGTATACTTCTTGGGGATTTCCTTCCAATTTCTTTTTCAATGACCATCACTTACCCACTTTATTTTACCCACTGGAGGTACTCACTTTAAGCTAAGTTTCCTAAAAAGAGTGTACCTGCTTTGTTACCTCATTTTTTCATGACTCAATACCCATCTCTTGTGATTAAAAAGAATACACCAAACCACAGTGTTTGCACTGACCTCAGTTGTTTCAGACCATTTCTTCTCCCCTGCCTTGGAGGGGGTTCCACTGTTTTTTTCATAAACATGCTGTAAAAATAAAAGCATACAATTTAATTTCCTTACCTAATAAGTAACTAAATATTAAGAAACATAATACAATATATTGTTATTTGTTCATTCAAAAATCATTTTTGTGTACTATGTGCTAATTTTTATGCTAGGCACTGGGGTCACGGAGATAAAGAAAAAGTTTGTTTTTTTCATCCCAACAAGGTTTTATGGATGTTAGGCACATAGACCCCACACAGTAGTCATTCTATATAATAATAATGATGATGATGATGATGATGTATAGCCATAAATTTGGGATCTAAAGTCTCATGCTGTAATTAAACAAATACAGATCTGGCTGGCTGGCTGGCTGCTTAGGCATCCTATCTCTAGACAAGTGTGTCATGGAATTTTAAAGCCCAAATTGTCACTACCTGAGACATATGATGCACCCAAGAGATGGAATCTCCAAGGACTAAATTTGCCCTGCAGCTACATTGAGGCAACAATCAGTGCTGACTCAGAGAGCAGAATTTGTTACCCTTGATTCATCATTCCCATTTCCTGCAGCACCTTGAACACCTCTGGAGCTCTTCTGTCTAAGGGCTGGATCACAGAGTGAAGGTTACACCCTAGAGTGGCAAGGCTGGACATGTTTTGTTATGCTTTTAGGATAATTCCATTATATTAAAAGCCTGCATTAGTCAAACCTATAGCTCTCCTGAACTAGGACAATGGGAACAAATGTAAGGTTTTACATGGTCAATTATCCAGTGCATTTGGCTATTGACAGTGATGCTACTAGCTCCAAGTATTATTTTTTATACACTGAACAGCAGGAGATAAGTGGCATGTTCATAAAATTTATTACATTTTAATAAAGGGAAATTTTAAAGTGTTCCTGCAGAGGAAAACCACTTCTTGCCTTATGTTTACATTTAAAATCTCCCAATGCATGTTTGGAAATGAGGATATTGGGCCTGAGAATATCCAATTCAACTCAATGACAAACACTTCTATTAAGTGTCAATGTCAAGCATCTATTATATGTCGGGCACTGAGGCTACAAAAACAAACAAAAAAATTAGTCATTTCCCTCAAAGAGTTCATATTTTCCTAAGACCAAGCATGGCACTAAATTCTTCCTTTTATTTGAAACAGAAATATAGAAGTATCATTATGTGTCCTTTAGCCTCTGCTAGAGTCTAATTCTTACATTTTGCTGTGGTTTGGAGGTGGCAAATACCATGGCAATAGACTACATGCTCTGGCAAAGCCTAAATAATCCAGAAAAGCTTTTCATCTGGGTCTGGTTTTCTGAGGATTGGTCTTACTATGTTCAGAGAGGTTCATCACTAGGTAAGCCTTAGGGTGGTGAAAAATTCAGCCAAAGACCAGAAAGGTCATGATCTGTACTGGTGAAGGGAATACTCACACTGATAAGATCATCAAGGCCAGGGGTGGGGAACCTATGGCCTTGAGGCCATATATGGCTCTCTAAGTTCTCGAGTGTGGTCCTTTGACTGAATTCAAACTTCACAGAACAAATCTCTTTAATAAAAGGATTTGTTCCGTAGAACTTGGATTCAGAAAGGGCCGAACTCGAGGACCTAGAGGGTCACATGTGACCTCAAGGCTGCAAGTTCCCCACCCCAGGCCAAGGCTCTGAGCACTAAAGTGTCTCTCTCTATCCTACCCAGAGACAGTTTAAGGAGGACTTTCTCTGAAGATAATTTTATTCAAGAACTGGAATGAATAGATGGGCATAGCATGTGAGAATCTTCTGTCAAATCAAGAGATCTACTACTCAAAACATGGCAAATTGCAGACTCTGCCCCAGATCATATCCTCAATGATGTCCCTCAAGAAAAGTCTGCAAGCCGTTCCTTTCACGAAAGAAAATTCTCCCCACAAAGAAAGACAGTCATGAATTAATGACTAGAACCCACAGAAACTTGGCTCTGCTGCCTGAAGGCAACAAAAGCTTGCTGAACCAAACTAACTACTGTGCTTATTTTTGAGATATTTTTGTAACATACTATAAAAATATTTGTGTAAATGAGTGTGTGTGGTCTATATTTTAGGGTAATCAATATGGAATAATTTATATAATTTTTCAAAAAAGATTATTTTTCAAAAGTAACAGGCAGAAATGGCTATAGATGGATTACTAGACTCCAAGGAATTGCTTATCTCTAAATGAGGTGGCCCTTCAACCCCTCTGCTTGTGTCTGATCCCACCCCTTCCTATCTCCTCCAGTACTATGCCTCTTTAATCATCCTCTTTCTCTAGTTTTCATCTTCTTACCCACTGGCTCCCTCCATACTACCCACAAACATGTCCCAAAATACTCCATTCTTAAAAACAAACAAAAAACTCCTACCATCCTCTCGAGACATTATCCTTTATCTCCCCTCTCCCCTTCATTGCCAAACTCCTAGCAAAAAACTTGATGTTTTCCCTTTCTTATTTCTCACTCACTTCTCTCCCCTCTTACAGTAGGGTGCATGTCTCCATCACTTAACAAACTGCTCTCTCCAAGATCACCAAGGATCTCTTTGTTCCTAAATCCCATGGCCTTTACTCAGTCCTCATTCTTGACATCTCTGAAACATCTGACACTATTAAGCACCTCCTCCTTCTGGAAAGTTTCTCCTCCCTGAGTTTCTTTGTTGTGTTTCTTATCTTACATATCCGACCGAAGCTTCTTCATCTCCTTTGCAGGATCATCTTCCATGTTTTGCTCCCTATTTGTGGCTTTGCCCTAGGCCTTCTCCTCTTAACTCTCCTCTCTCTCTCTCTTGCTGATATTATCAGTTCCCATGGATTCAACTATCATCTTTAGGCAGCTAACTTTCAAATCTATATATCCAGCCCTGCATATTTAACTGCCTGCTATACAACTCCACCTGAATGTCCAATAGGCAGCTCAAACTCAATCTGTTCAAAACAGAACTTAGTATCTTTCCAAATAATCATATCCCTTTTCTTAACTTTCCTATTCCTATCGAGGACACCACTATATCCACCAAAGTTCACAAACTTGGAGTCATCTTTGACTCTTTATTCTTTACTCCTCATCTTCATCTGTTTCCTCTCTTGTTGATTCTGCCTCCTCAGTATCTCTCCTATGTGCCCCCTTACCTCTACTCATACAACCACCCTAGACTAGAGTCTCAACACCACTCATCTGGACCACTGCAATAGTTTCCTATTTGGTCTACCTGCATTCAGTCTCTCTTCTCCAAGCCTCCACAGCTGCCAAAATGATATTCCTGAAGCACAAATCTGACTATGTTATTTACTTGCTTAAGAAGCTCCATTTGTTTCTGTTACTGAAAATACAAGCCTTTGTTTGGCTTTTAGATCCATCTGCAACCTGGTTTAAGCCATTCTAAGATGATTATATATTAACTACTCCTTATACATTCTATGCTCCAGCCAAACTAGCCTCCATTCTGTTTCTCATATACAACATTCCATTATTTTCTTCCATGACTTTGCATAGGCTGTCCCCAGTACCTGGAATGTCTTCCTTTTTTTGCAACCCTAGTTCCTTTCAAGGCCTGGCTCAGCTGTCACCTCTTTCAAGAGGTATTTTCTAATTCCCCAGTTAGCCCCTTCTCTCTCCCCCATCACTGTGTATTTATTTTGTACATAGCTTGCATTTACATATCTCTGAGCACTTTGTTTTCTACTCCTCTACTATAAATTCTTTGAAGGCAGGAACTCTCTCACTTCTGAATTCCTATCTCTAGAGCCTAGCACAGTGCCTGGCACATTGCAATCATTTAATAAATGCTTCTTGACTAATTCAGCATCTGAAGCTAATTTTTGAGGAAGACTGACAGAATCAGATAAATAGAAATTAAATTAATTTACTCTCCAGTGTGAGTAAATTTACAACCATGTCTACTATCCCAAATTTTTTTCTAATTAGAAGTATTCCCAATAGTCTGGTTTATTGAGTCAATAATGATCATTAAAATCATATATTGAGTACAAATACTTTTCTTAAACCTAGAAAAGGGGTCACTTAACAATTCTCCTAGATGTAGCCTAGTTAATGTTTTGACAGAGATTCTATATGTCTTCCCATCTTAAAAGGACAAAGATAAATCTATCTGCTTTAGATTAGCTGATAATATCAAGACTTAGAAAATCTTTCTAAAGTTTGTAAATTATCTCAACAGCTTGGGAGAAGAATATCTGATGTGTATCAAAGATGGAGGGAATTCCAAATACATATGTGTTCTTAGGACATCTTTTTAAATGGGATGGACACCAACTACCTTCTTTAAAAAATAGATCCCCGAAGTACTGTAAACATAATCTGAATACATAGGAATATTGAAATGGTTATCACAGTTCTTAGTGCAACCTCTCCCCCCGCCCCAACCCCAGCTTCAATAATGCTTTGCACAAAGACTAGGAACACCATATCTTTGACAGAGAAGAGAATTTTGAGAACAAACAGAACCTCTTACCCGAGTTAACTCTCATCTTTGAGAAAAACTGAAAAAAACATTTTCTGAGAGAACTAATTCTTATGCTATGGAGCAGACATACTAAAGAGAATTTTTGAGAACCTTTGCCTTCTGAGAGAGATGGATGGTAGAGTTGTATTTCCATAATTGACAAGAAGCCAGAAGTTAATGATTAGAGGTGACTCTGGCTATGATTTTCTTGCTGTGATACACTGTTGAAATATTTAAATATGTCTTTATATTGTTGCATTATTATTCAGTGGTATGTCCAGTAACATTGATATTTATTTAAGTCTGTGGGATTATAGGGTTTAACAAAAAGCTTACAGAAAAAGAAGTCTTTTCATTTTATTTTACAATTAAAAAGGGAGCTCTGAGCTGATTATTGAAAGATTTGAATATTCCTATTAATTTATAAGAAAATACCATAGCGTATCCATCAATTTTCTGAGAACCCAGGATGAATGAGGTAATGAGTTTAATAGCAGACTGAAGGAAGAGGGTTTAGTTTAGTCACTGACTAGTACATAGTATGTGATGCCCCATGC